ATATAAAGCCATCAACGGCTTTGCTCAATATTCCCCACTTTTGAAAAACATCTAGAATCCATCTTCAATGTCTTCAACCATCAGATTTTCATTGAGTTCTATACAATTGTTGTTTCTTTTCATAAAGTTCAGGTAGGTTTTTCTTCACACCCTAGCAAGAAATTCTCCTTCAAAATCATAAGATGGTTCTTCCATAACAAGTCCACACACTAGAAGACCACAGCAAGAATCTAAAGCCAAAATTCTTAAAAGTATACATAAGAGAAGGAACATTAACAGAAGAGGGACGATAACTTACTTCGAGGATTAACCAACGGAAGCTTGAGCAGTGCAAAGTGGAATTCATCTTTTGATAGGGATTGTGTCTAAAACACTTTGGCCAAGCTCAATTGCTTGCGGCAGCAGATAGTATTTTATGTCCACCTCTTCGAAAATCCTTTTAATCTCCATGACTAGCTCAGTTCGTCGTTTGTCCTTCTCTCCATACTCTTGAAACGATATGGTGTGGTTAACATAGAGAACCATATCTAACTTGTTGACATCTTCGATCTCAACAACCATCACACTGTGGTTGGGATGCCATTGTAGTGGATTCTTCTCTATGTACCTGGGAAGCAAATTTAAAAACTAAACACTTGTTCATAATCGAATTCCTAATATTTAAACAAAAAAGAAAAAAAGAAAAGAAAAGTAGAGCTTGTTGGTAAAACTCACTGGTTTATTTTATCTTTCAGGTGGCCTATCTTCTCAACTGGTGTCATGAAATCAATTGAGAATTCAACAGTATCACCCATATCTGAGCTTCTGTAATAGTTGCTGATGGGCTTTGTGGACAGAACTGAATTCGGATAGTATACCTTTTCATTGTTGAGTTTCAAGAAGACTGTGGTTAAGATGTTCATCTCTTCAACAAGCAGCTGTGAAGTTACATGGTAAGAAAACAGGGTTTTAACTGAAGTGAATCTCAAACAAAACAAAGCGAAATGGTTTTTTTTTTTTTTTTTTTTTCCTTCCTTATAAACATTACCGGAACTCCGTCAACAACACAGCGGTCACCAACATCAAACGGATGCATTACGAATACAAACACGATGGCTTCGAAAATGGTCTTGCAGGTGTTTCCAAACATGAAAGCCGCCACCACAAGCTGTGAAGAGAGGAAGAGAAGCACCTTTGTGGTAGCGATTTCCGTCAGTAGAAGCCACACCACAATGGTCACAACAAAGAGGATGCCTATTACGAGTTTGTTCAGTTGCTTTACGGCTGTTTTGGTGTCATTCAGAGCATGTGCTAGTGCTTTTCGAACATTATACACCTTAATCTGCAGAAGTCAATTCCAATACCAAAAGCATTATTAAGAGATAACCTCTCTGCTGATCAAATATAGCTTTGACACCTATGAAAAATTTAAAATTAGATTTAATAGAGGAATGATAGTTTGAACACATCTTATTTTTGCTGCTCCTATGCCCATTTATATAGTTCAGCAATCAAGTACAATTCGTTTGGGGCCTATACAATCAAGACTGTGACAATAAGAGATGTTAAAGTGGAATGTGGGTCTATGAAAATGACATGCACAATTAAACTTTCTTGCAGTTTCAACTTCAAAACAGAAAATACTAGTTGCAACAAGAAAATAAAAATATTTTCTCTCCGGATACAATTACTTACAAAGATAAAGGGAAAAGAAAAGAAAAGAATCAGGCAAAGAATTTACACTCAGAAAAATCTCTGTTTTTCTTTTTTCCATATTCCTGTTGTCTACATGATTAAAAAATAAGAAAGATTTGCATAACTGAAGACTAATGAACCATGTGATGCCGTCTCCATGGAGCAAAGAGATCAAAAACGACATCAAGAAATGCATTTTAATATAGAGGTCAAACAATATTGTATTAAACTATGGGTCCGTTTAGTTCGCTAATTCGAGTTTTTAATTTGAATTAATAAGTGATTTTATGTGATAGTTTTTTATTGTAACAAAAAAGTTAAATGTGATTATTTCTTAGAGTTTTTTACTGTAAAAAAACTCAAATTCTAAACTTAAATCGGTGAAATGAACAGAGCCTAAAAAGACATACCACCCAATCAGTCAGAGCCTTTCTGTCAATTCGCCCATTGTCTGTTCCAAACAGCAGAAGCACAATGTCCACTTCTTCCTTAATCATGAATCTCAAGAGATCATCCTCATCAATGAACCTATTCATTTGCAATAAGTTAAACCGAAGAACAAATACAACACAAAAAAAAAACAAAAAAAACAAAAACGGGGGTGTATTTGAAACTCGTTCTAAAATAATTTTATTTTTTATATGAAAATAAAAATAAAAACATTTTCAATCTCATACAGAAATCATTTTTGAAAATGCATTGAATAGTTTTATTAAAAGATTATTTTTAATATAAAAAAATAAATTAATGTCTCGTTCTTTGTTCGAAAAAAGAGAAAATAAAAATAAAAAATAAAAAATGACTATTAAAAGTCGTTTATAATTTTTCTTATATTTTACATTAAATTAAAAAATTATTTTTATTTTTATTTTTTATAATTATAACAAACGCTATTTTAGAATCGTTTTAATTTTTTTTTTAAATGTAAAAAATAAAAATAAAAAACAATTCCAAACACGTCATTTATTTTTCTCACTTAGAACCAGGTGGAGCAACATTTCTGAAAATGTGATAGGCAGCGGCAGTTGCTTCCACCTCGTTTGTAATCTCCTTATCAGTCTGCTCCATTGCGCCATTCTCCATCTCGTCCAATGTGTTTGAGACCGTCGAAAGGCCCGATCTACTAACCGCGTCGACCAGAACCTTCATGGTCCAAGCCGAGACCTTCCCTTGCTTCATCTTGTGAAGCTTGGCCATGTCGATCGTCTCCTTAGTTTTCGCCGCCTTTCCCTTCTTAGAACTCCTGAAACTCAACTGCCCCATGCTCGGCGACCTCCCGACCTGCTCGGCCTCCTCAATTAGCGCAGGCCCCGAAAAGGTCTGCAAAACATACTGATGGAAAATCGACTCCTGAATCCTATCAAAGAAAGTATTGACATGAAAATTGGACGCCAAAATCTTCAACAAAAGAGTCTTTATCAGCCAAAGAAACCCCCCAATTAGAAGCGTCACAAGAGTCCAAGTCACGTAGTCTAAAATCTTATTGGCAGTTTTCGAACGCTTAATTCCATAGTTAAACACAAGGACCCATGTTAGAAGCACAAGACACAACCAAATAAAGACCTGAACGCTCTTCTTCAATCCATGGACGAAGTACAAAACCTTCTTCCTAAGCAAAAAGTTCCTCTCGATGACGAAAACGACTATGCGCATAAACCAATTGGTGACCAACATTCCACAGATGATCCCCATCACAAGAACAACCCACTTCCAAAGCTCCAACTCCCAAAGCAGAGTCCTCTCCAATCTCTCAACCGTCAAACTTGCCGTCAAACAACCAACGAGAAACAAAAACATAATCCACTCGACCACAACCTTGGCCTTCACTCTCTTCCGCTTCTCCTCGCTGAGCACGACCTTCTTGTAAATCTCATCGTCCTCGTCCTCCGCCGCCGATTTCTGCGCGATCGAGTCATTGTTCGGCGAAGCCTTGTTGAAGGAGCCTCTATGAGGCGAGCCGAGGCCGTTCTGGTCCGTGCCATTGTGCTCTTCAAATATGGCGGGGTCGATCGAAACCGACGGCTCGCCGAATCGGGACTTGGGCCGGGAGAAGACCGACGACCGGTTGAGCGATTTCCTCCGAGTGAGAGTGTCATTGGTGGCCGGAATCTTCGGAGGCTTGTTAGGGCTTGGACTGAACCGGCCAATCTCCGGCGAAGGACAGATTACTGGGACCGACTTGGATATACCAGTGGATTCTGTGGAGACTTTCTGAGGAGAATCTGTTTTGGTTAGCTGTTTGGGAAAGGGAGATTCTGAGCCCTTTTTGGCAGACCCAGATTCTGTTCGAATTTCTACAACAACTTCGCTTCCATTCTCGGTTTTCTTCTCCGACATGCTTGTTTCGCCGCCGTTTGATGATGTTTTTCCTCTCGCTTCCATGGTTCGAAACCGGAAAGTCTACCCTGCCATATTAAACTCTTTGAACAGAAAAGAAAAAGGAAAAAGAAAAGATAAAAAGAAATGAGCTTCCTCTTATAAATATATATTAGAGAAAAACAATCTTCATTCTTTTTGGCTTTTCTGTAGGCCTAAAGATTCTAAAATATGTTCCATTATTAGTCAAAAAAAAAAAAAGGTTGCAGCTTTTTTTTTTTTTTTTTTTGTTTAAAAGAGAATAAGCAAATTCCAAATTTTGGCGCGAAAAAGACAGAGGACGAACCTGAATATGTTCTTCGAAGAAGATGAAAGTGCTGGGATTTTGGTTGAAATGGTTTGTTTAGAAGTTCTATAATATATTGTTATGTTGGATCTCAATTTTTATTTTTTTATGTTGGATCTCACTATCTGAGAGTGAAAGCCATACTTGTTTATTCGGTTTAGTTGGATTTTGAGTCACACATAAGATGGGAACACCAAGCACGAACTTATTGTCAATCATGGCTGTTCGGCCAAAACCAACTTCAATTTTGTGTATACCGTGACAATACAATGACGTACATTGAAGTTCCGTTCATTTTATCGATTTGAGTTTAAAATTTACGTTTTATTATAGTAAAAAACTCTCTAAAATATTCACATTTAATTTTTTTATTACAATAAAAAATTTTCAGATAAAATCACATATGAATTAAAATCATCCTAAATATTTATAAAATTTGAATGATATTTGTCTTTATTATTTATACCTGCGAGGTTATGTGGCAAAAGAAAAAGGGTAAAGGGATGTTGGGATCAGATTGTGAACGTGGTCCTAGCAGGCGATTTGTTGCTATTTTTTTGGCAGAAATCAGTAGAGATTTTTGAAATTTGAGTCCGAGTGAGTGTTTTTTTTTATAAGAAATTTTCTACTCCCCTGAATGATATCAACGTTTTCCTTGCATTTTTAAACTCGATTGAACTCCTTTTTTCTTGATGACTAAATAATCTTTAATGGGATATTTATTTTATATATTCATCTATGATTCTAAATCATGATTTATAGTTCTTTACAGTATTTTTCTCTTATAAAAAACATATGTAAAACGAGAATAGTTCTAAATCATGATTCTAAATCTATGAACTAAACGTTCACTAAAATATATTTTATAGAAACTAGAAGCGATACGAAACAAATATCATCTTTCTCAAAAAAAAAAAAAAAAGAAAAAAAGAAACCCAATATCATCAACTTTCGTGAAAAGGTAAAATTCTGCATCAACAACAATGAAATAACCATACTATTATGTACCATGTAGTATTATTTTCCAGTAAGGGGAGTGCTTTTCAACAAATCCCTTCGTCTACGTAAAATACATGAATATTATACAAATATGACACATATATGTATTCTCATCTATGTTATATTATTTTTTCTTCTTGAATAGTATATATGCTATTTTTTATTTTTATTTTTTATCGAGCTATCAAACTGAATTTCTACTGAATTCATGGTTGCATCAAATCAAATTTGGAACTATTCCTCAAAAATTTTCAAATACCTTCATGATTTTTCATAATTATTAGATTACTAATATCTCTAGTCAATACCGGGGAAAGAAATGGGAGGCAACAAAATGTAACTATTAATAGCAATCACGTTAGGGATGAAAAGATGACAAACATATTGATGATCATCTTCTCATATACGTATATACAGATATTTACATCAATAATGGATTAAGCCCGTATCTAGATAGTTGCTGAGGAAAAAAGAAGAGACCGACTGCCATTAACTTTACGGGCCTCGTTGATTTTATTAATTTGAGTTTTTAATTTAAATTAAAATGTAATTTTATGTGAGAATTTATTGTAATAAAAAAAATAAATATAATTTTTTATAAAAATTTTAACTGTAATAAAATTAAAATTAAAAATTTAAATCAGAAATTAAATAGCTGTCGATCTGAATGGATGATTCCAGTTTTTTACTTCTTGATACGTGTCACAATATTTTACCACAATACGACAAGTTTCACAATAAGGACAAATTATAAAGAGTTTTTTAATAAAGTGATACTGTAACCAAAAAAACAACAATACAAAGAAGTGATATTACCTCCTAAAGTAGTTTTTGGTATGCATTACTAATTAACATCGACCGTTAATCCTTCTTTTTCATTTTAACTTTAGAAGAAAGAAAAATGCTTAATAATGTGAAGTATATGATTTGAAAATACAAAAAAATAAAAATAAAAGTATGATTTAGAAGAAGAAGAAGAAGATGATGATGATGAAAAATCGAATTCTTCTAATTAATTATGAAATCCATTAGCTCAAAATAAGAAGGCAGAATCAAAAAGGAAAACGTATATAGAGAAAAATGCTTAATACAGTGAAGTATGATTTGAAAATACAAAAAAAAATAAAAGTATGATTTAGAAGAAGAAGAAGAAGATGATGATGAAAAATCGAATTCTTCTAATTAATTATGAACTCCATTAGCTCAAAATAAGAAGGCAGAATCAAAAAGGAAAACGTATATAAAGAAAAATGCTTAATACAGTGAAGTATGATTTGAAAATACAAAAAAAAAAGTATGATTTAGAAGAAGAAGAAGATGATGATGAAAAATCGAAGTCTTCTAATTAATTATGAACTCCATTAGCTGAAAATAAGAAGGCAAAATCTATAAGGAAAACATATCGGGCCGTTTGGTAACGTTTTTAAAATGATTTTATTTTCAATACAAAAGTAAAAATGAGATTGTTTTGAGGCCGATTTTAAAATTACATTTAGTTGGTTTTTTAAGAGATTATTTTGAGTATAATAAAAAAATGAAATCGTGTTTGGTTATAATTATTAATTAATATATTAAAATATTATTAATAAGTATTACAAAATGAAAACAGAAAAGAGAAAACAACTTTTAATCATTTTCTAATTCCTTCATAAAAATCATTCTTACTGTTTTTTATTTTTGTTTTCAAAACATTTGTTAAACACTGCACATGTACGTCGAGACCAAGATTAATCATTCTCATCGTTCGAGATTTTTAATAAAGAGAAAACAATAAATTGTTGAATTATTTTGAAACAAAACATCGCGATAAACCCTAAAACCAAAGATAAAAAGATATCACTCTTTATTACTCTAACCTATTGTAAATATTTTGGAGCGTTTGATTGGTGCAGGATAATCTTAGGAATGAGAATCTAAAAGATTTTCATATTTAGTATAATTATTGGACTTTTTGTCAACCTAAAAAAGTAAAGCATGTGGATATCACATTACCTTAAATTAGGGTAATCTTAGACTCATTTAAAGAGGTGTTATTTACTTTAAGTCTAAAACCTAACGCCTCTCTCACCATCTCAATCACTGCTACTCTTGTGTCGACCATTCCGTCCACCTAGTCGTCGTCGGACTTCCCTCCACCCTGTCGTCGCCGTCACTGAGTATAATTTTTTTTCTTTTCTTTTGTGGATTATTTTGTTAAAATTTTTTGGGATCTATTCTCTTGTTTAAACATGCTATAATCTCCATTGAGTTTTTTGGGATCTATACGTTGTGGTCTGCACGATCTAACAATAAAAAAAAAAAAAAAAAAAGAACTGGCACTAAATTTGGTATTTTAGGGGAAAAAGAAAACGTCAAACTAAGGTCCAAGTCCAGTAAAAAGTAGGAACTAAATTTGCTTTTTTTACTTTTTTTTAAAAAAAAATTTTCGGCTGAACCCTTTGCCATGTACGTATGTTGTTCATTGTACTTATTTTTTTTATTTTTTCTTGTTTTTTCGTTGAATCCACTACTTGAGGTTTTTCCTTTTTTTACTTTTCTTTTTCTTTTTTCTTTTCAATTCTTTGCTCTATTCAATCCTTTCTCTTTTAACTTTTTGTTTTGTTTGTTAAAGGCTATTATCTATTCAATAATTCTTCTTGACAATTTGTCACTTCATTGTTTCTTCATTGACAATTTGTTTCTTTAATGTTTCTTTTGTATGTGGTCATATATTTAGAACTTTTGATGACAGGTTTGAAATCTTATTGGAGTATATGATCTCATATTTAGAATTTTTGTAAGAACTTTTGAGTATAGAGGATTTGAGTTAACATTTTGAGACTCCTATTATTTGATAATTTTATGGACTATTTATTGTGTTATGAGAGTAAATATTTAAAAAATATAACTTTATTTAATATTTTTTTAAATATTAGTGCTAATGTTATGAGGGTAAATATTTAATAATATTATTATTATTATGTTATTAACACATTGAGTATTAATTGTAATTTTTTTTAAATATATATTTTTTAAACACAACATTTTCATGCACAATTAAACACAATAATACATTATTCTTAGGAATTTGAGACAAGATTCATGTATGTAACTAAATACAGTAATGTATTATTCTTGAGAAAACATATTACCCTCTATCACTTTCTTATGAATATGATTCCAACTAATTAGTCCATACCAAAAGCCCCTTATAATACATATGACATGACTGTGAGAAAGACATGAATATATATATATATATATATATATATATATGGGCATGTTCATTAGGTTTATTTACTAGTCATGGAATGCTTATAGTAATAGTTAGGGATCTACATTTTCTGTCCAATTTTTTGTGTTTTAAAGAGTGTTTAATGCCTAATCAAATCATAACACGTCATCTCATTCTAAATAATAAGTACAAAAGAGTTAATTAAAAAACAGTTTAAATTTTTTACATGACGAAAACATAATATAATTAATTAGACAATAATTGAAATATTAATATTGATAGAAGAGACTTAATAACTAGATGCGGCGTATTAGTGAATCATAAATGGAACTACTATTGTGCCATTTTGTGAATACGACCATGGTTTTCTAGCTTTGCAGTTCATTAATATGTTACTTTTCTTTTCGGATTATTTGTTTGTTTATCTGAGATGATTTATAACGTCAATATATCATGAAGATGTACAATCACATAGAAGAATGTTATTGAATTGACTGCGTGTGAACTTTTAGAATCGACTTATTGGACTTTTGGTTCATGGATTAGAATCATGTGATTAGAATAATTTTTGATTTACGTGTATTTTTTGTGAGAGAAAACACTGTAACGAATCATGAACCATGATTCAAATCATGATTTGAATCTTTCAACCAAACATCTATATTAGCGCGTTCGCCAGTATTCACAGTGCAAATATTTGTCGCAATATTTGTCTAAAAATTTGTGATAATATTATTTTTGTAATAAGTTGGTGTTTGACTGTAAATTTTTAATTTTCATATTGCTACTTTGAACTTTACCTTGAAATCAGCAGTCAAGTACCGCAACTTTACATGTTTACGTGAGATAAAGATTAGAATTTGTCACTTTTGCATTTATTATTTGACATGTGCACTCTATTAATATGATGTATTATTATTTAAACAGAAAATAATGTAATGGAGTCCACATATTATACAATAAAAAATGACAGAAAGTGTCAAAAAAGGTGACGTTAACATTTTTTATATATGTAAATGGCGCGGTGTTAAAATATTGTTGCATGACATAACGTGTCATTAATAAATGCGACAATAGTTCCTAATATAATACACATGATTTTTATTTTTTAGAAAGTAGAATGCACGTAAACTAGTACGTCTGTATATTCATAGAAGTTTTCTTAATTTTTGAATTTTGAATGTTCGGTGAAGAATTGGAAGTACTATTTTGTGCATCGGGAAAAATAGAAGAGCATGCTAGGTATATGTATACTACCATTCTAAGGAAGTATTACTTTCCAGCTAAAACCAAATATTAATTAGTTACTACGAACAACTTAATTACAGGTTAACACTATTTTCCAACAGCCGGTTTTGAAGTCTTTTTAGAACGGAAGTGATCGTGGCAAAGGGTGGCCTAATAGCAGCATCTTCATTCCATGATCGGCAAATGAGGTCAATGAGCTCCCCAAGTTGGCCATCGTCTTCTCGAAGTCTTGGCCTTAGATTACTCTCTACAACTTCCATGGCGATCTAGTATATGTACATAAAAATATTAATCAGTACACAAGAGTTTTTATGTCAATTTCATTCATCATTTTGATCATTACTTCTAACCCCTTCAACGAGGATTGTGAAATTAGGCTCTTTTTCTTTCCTTTTATGGAGGATCGAAATGTGAAGAGACTTAAGAGGCTCATTTAGTTCGCTAATTCAAATTTTTAATTCGAGTTGAGATATGATTTTATGTGAGAGCTTTTTACTATAGTAAAAAAGTTAGATATTGCTGTTTTTGAGAGCTTTTTACTGTAATAAAATTCGAATTCTAAACTCGAATTGGTGAAATGAACGGGACATCGTTTTCTTTTTCCCACAAAAGGTACAAAAATCCATAGAAATGACCATAATCTTATTAAAAGTATTTATAAGAGAAAATAGATAGTACTTTTGACTTCTAATACGTCTTGCCCCTTATCCTTAGCGCTAGCCTATTGTGCATAACTATTTTTCTTTTTTCTTTTTTCTTTTTAATTAGAGAGTGCTAGAGGAGTCACCGGAGTGACTCGAACTCTTAACCTCAATATTAGATGAAAACGGTGTGGATTTACCACAAACTAAACTTACTTACAACCACTTACTGTGCATAATTGTCGGACTATTTGTCTAATATATATATATGTATATATATGTATGTATATACCTTAGTGGGACCATAATCCAGCTCAATGTAGGGATATTCTCCGGTCATAAGCTCATTCAGTATAATACCGAAACTATAAACGTCACACTTTTCATTATAAGGCTCACATTTGATGACCTCCGGAGCCATATAGACATAAGTTCCTGAAAAGACAAAGCGATAAATGAACTGATGAACGATTAATCATGTTATATTGAGCGAAATAAATAATTATTAGGAATATACGATTTCAAGTAAAACAAAACAGAACGTATGTAAGAATGTTTCGGCAAAGGATATTAGGTGATAATGTGGGCGTGATAATATTTTAAAAAGATAAGGTGAGACATAACCCTGTGGAAAAGTAATTATATTAGCATGGGGATTATCATTAAAGTGCCGGATATTAATTGTTTTAATAAAAAAAAAAAAAGAAACAATAATAAAGACAATACTAGTTATTTTGGCCACGAGCTCAAAAATGGCCTGGACGAAAAAGTTTGGTTAATTTAGCTTCTTATCATTACTCCAATACTGAATAAAAAGAGTTTAAGATTGAAATCGAACCATTAATCTAAGGCATAACTGCATCTCCAACTCATGACATCAAAATAGTCTAACTTTCACATCAAAATAATGTAACTTCCACTTCAAAGACTAAATTCATCTCAAACTCATTACACCATTCTTAACACTAAAAAGAATATTCCATTTTATCTCTTTTTTTTTTTTAATATTCCTTTTGTATTCCTTATTATATTCTAAATTTGGTGTTGAGTGGAGTCCATTAAATTTGAGTTTCCATTGTTGCCCTTTCCATTCACATCAAAATGGCGTGAGAAATGGTACTCGGTTGGAGAATAGCTCCAACGCCATTCACGCTTTCCAACGGAGAAACTCTCAGTGTGCGTTTGGTAAATAGATCCAGAATCATGATTTTATATCTTGGTTTAGAATCAGTATTTGTTTACAATGATTCTGAATCATGATTCAGAATCAGTGTTTGGTTTAAATGATTCGGAATCTGATGTGATGTTTTAAACTTGCTCAAATCATGATTTTAAAACCACCCCCCTCTTGATTCAAGGTGATTCAAATCTCTGATTCTAAATCATGATTTGAACCCAAAATCATGAATCATGATTCTGATACTAGAATCATGATTAAAATCATCATGGTTTAAATTATCGTACCAAACGAACCCTAATAAAAAAATGTCGTGATTGAAACTCAGTTTTTTTATCTGTACATAACGTATACAATTATAAATTGCTATTCAATAACGCTAATTTGTTAATAATATATATTTTTGATAACTTATAGAAAATTAGAGATATATTATAAAGATGTTTCCTCATTAAAAAAAAAAAAAGTATAGATGGTAAAACAAATCAAAATTTGAAGCATGGTAAAATATGTAAAATTCACCAAAATACAAACCAAAAAAAAAAAAAAAAACTCGCCTGTTTCACCAGAGAGTGCCATCTCTTCTTCACTCAAAAACCGAGCGTGACCAAAATCCGCGACTCTCACGTGCAATGCATCGTCCAGAAAAATATTGCTGGGCTTCAGATCGCGGTGAAGAACTTTGGGCCTTTGGGCATGGAGATACTGCATGGCCTGAGCTATCTCCAAAGCCCGGCCCAATCTTTCTTTGAACTGAGGAAGCGGTGTAATCCTCTCCTTGATCCGCCTCTTATCAGGCCCATGAAGCCACTCCTCCAGTGTCATGCTCAAGAACTCAGTCACCGCCCACGCGCGGAATGGCGGGTCAAGGCACGCGCCCATCAGTTGGAGAACAAAACGGTGTCGTTGACACGCCAATGTCTCCATCTCTTGGGCGAAGAAGGCTACGCCTTTGTCGTTTGATTGGAAGAAATCGGGTCGTATGCATTTCACCGCCACATCAAGTCCGCGCCATGTTCCTCTGTGAATGTTGGCCGTACTTCCATGTCCTATTTTCTCTTGCAGCTCAATCTGCTCAATCATTAAACTCTAGTATCAATTTATTGGTTTTGCATAATTTAAAAGATTGTTTTATTAATTAACGTGCTAGTTAATTAACAAGTGTTGGTTTTCACCACACACAAAAAAAAAAAAAACAATTGCTGGTTTGCATTTTTCTATTTAAATTAATGAACAGTTTTATTATGTGGTTTATAAAGTGATATATGTATATATTATATTCTTCACAATGTTTCTTGGATTGTTTCAAGCATAGTTAAAGAATTTCTATCAATTCAATGACACATAATGTAATTCCTATATAAGGTTGTTTTTTTTTTTAAATTGTGATATGATACTTTTTTTTAGATAGTGCTATGCATGATTTAAATTAACAAAACAATGACAGTTTTATGTTTACCACATAATGTGATTTTAGTATGATTAAACTATGACATGTAGGGTCCGTTTAGATGTGACTTTATGTAAGAACTTCTTACTGCAGTAAAAAAGTTAAATGTGACTATTTTTTAGAGTTTTTTACTGTAACAAAACTCGAATTTTAAACTCGAATCGGTGAAATGAATGGAACCGTAACGTGATTGTAGGTTAGGTCTTGCAGTAAATCCATACTCTTACCTCCAATCTTAAGGTGAAGAGTTCGAATCTTTTTACAGTTATTATATATGTGTGTGTATATATATATATATATATATATATATGTGTGATATCTAATTATAAGCTAGGGGTGATGGACCTCATCTGGAGCAATGTACCAGCCATTTAGCTTGGCTACATCAATTAGAGAAGCAAGCTCCGAGTGTTGATGCAGGGGTGTTGGTGTTTGAGGAGTGGGAGGAGCATCTTTGTTTTGGACAATAAGATCCAAGAATCCATTTTCCTGCGCTATTTGAAGACAGTATCTCAGATAGTCTTGCGTTCTCTCCATCCTCTTCTTATAAATAAACCTGACTTCTTTCTGCCTTTCCACTTCTCTTTCTAGGTCTGCAACCTTTATGAGAGCAACAATGTTGTATCAATTCATAGCATTCACACATGGCATGTTTACTTACCAGATTAAAAAATGAAAGTAAGAAATGAGAGTCAATTTTATGTTTACTTGTTCTTTTTTATCCTGAAATAAGACTGAGATTGGTAGACCCCACTCAAATTTGAGATTGAGAAATAGGATTGACACTCCCATACCCCCATTGAGATTGAGACTCTCATTCTTAATATTAATATTAATTTACTATCATACCCTTATTTTACTTATAAATACACAATTAAAAATAAAAATTTTAATTTGAGTTTAATTTTTTTTTAAGTTTTATTCTAAAAGAATAAGCCTTTAGACATTTGAGTCTTCATCTTTAGGAAAAATAAAAATAAAATGCCTACAAGAACATTTGAAAAAGCGGGGTCCACGGAAACTGTTTTTTATAACTTGAGGCACAGTAATCAATGAGTATTGCACTAAACCCATTTAGCATGCTTAAAGCTTTTGTTTCATTTTACTATTGAAGTTCTAAATTTTGACTGTTAAAAATTATAATATTTAATTTTTTATATTATAGTTAAAATTTTTTTTAAAATGATACATTTTTATTGAAATTGAAAATTTGAATTCGCGAATATAATTGCATCAAATTTTAGCCCTAAATTAAAATTTAAACTCAAATTTTATAAACGAACATAAATTTAAATAAAATTTTAATTTGAGTTTAATTTTTTTTTAAGTTTTATTCTAAAAGAATAAGCCTTTAGACATTTGAGTCTTCATCTTTAGGAAAAATAAAAATAAAAAGCCTACAAGAACATTTGAAAAATCGGGGTCCACGGAAACTGTTTTTTATAACTTGAGGCACAGTAATCAATGAGTATTGCACTAAAACCCATTTAGCATGCTTAAAGCCTATGCTTCATTTTATCGATTGAGTTTTCAATTCTAAATTTTTACTGTTAAAATTTTTTAGAAAATATAATATTTAATTTTTTCTGTTATAGTTAAAAGCTTTTAAAAAATGTACATTTATACTTAAATTAAAAACTTGAATTCGTGAAGTGAACAATATCAAAGTGGGCCCAAATATTGTATATAACTTTATAGGTTATGCACATGGACTAGCCTGGCATTTTGACCATTTGACATTCCAAAGATGGGTGTTGTTCCCACAGAGTATTAATCACGGAATCGGAATTAAATAAATACATGCACTCGTGAACCTTAATATGCAAGCCATGCACATACATAGCCGTGGTCCAACATTTTGGTTAGACAAAGGAAGACCAACTAAAATGTGTGGTCCAAATTACCTGTTGCTCCAATGTGGAAGTTGGCTCATGATCACTCCGCTTTGTGGAAACAATTGAACCCATTTTCAAGCAGTCCTTAAGCCCCCGGCAACATCCGGAGGGCTGCGTGGTGGTTTTGCCGTGCTTCTGGCCCGGCGTTGAATTCTCCACCGCCGGTGACTGCCAAGACCTAGATTGAGTGGCCCTCATGGTGGAAGAAGAGAAAACTTAAGGAGGGTCCAGTGCTGATTATAACGCGGCACAGTTTTGTTGTTTAGCCCTTGTATGGGCGAAATTTCTTATGTGTAACACTTGATTAAACTCTTTAAAAATAACGTAATGCGTATGCAGATTAACGTTGTATTAAAGTTTTGATGGAATCGAGGGTGCAGATTATATGTAACCTTTTTGGGCGATTATGTCTATGAAGATTTGGACGTTCATTTGGAAGAGGAAATTGAATATGAAGGATGATATAATTGGGCGGTTTTCTCCACAACGTAAAGCACGGATAGGTACAAATATTGGACCACCATATATACATACTGTGGTCCTATCCAATATTATGAATATACTGATTTATAAGCAATATGATACGTTGGTCCATGCAGCAGGTGTAGTCGACAAAAATGAAGTTCCTTTTTGTTTGTTTCTTTTGATTTCTTTACATTCAATCATTTTAGAATTTTACCACTTGCCGTTTGAAAACAGATTCTTCCAGGTTTAATCTGGAATCCAAAATGTTAGAAACGTTTAAAAAGTTGTACCCTTGATAAAATTTTTGGCTTCATATGAACCTTATATATTAATGTGCTTGGAGGTGACGGAGGATCCCATTTATATATTACTTATAAGTTATGCTTTCTTCTTTTTATACCAAAGGATAATTACAATATAAAACATAAATCTTTACTTTGATTCAGGCCTAAGTTAGTTGGAATTGGATAGAATGCTCCAGAAAGAGAGTTATATATAACAAGTGCATGGATAAAACAGATATCTAGAATTCATTAATTATCTGTCACAAAACTGATGCCTAAGGACTAAATTGAAAATTTTACACAACTGAGGAATAATGGAGAGGCCGAAACGCCACATCAATGAGTTAAGCTTTCCATTTAAGCTTCGGCTAATTTGTTGCAATTAAATGTTCTTCACCAAGACCTGGTTGTGGCAGCTGTTAGCTGTACTTGCCCCCCAAATATCTTTGGTAGTAGAAAATAACGTGATAGCAAACCTTTTTTTTTTCCTCCTTACCATTAAATTGATGCAGCGGTTGGGATACATTTTGTTATTTCTCCTTTGAGGATGAATTTAAAGTTCGATATTCAAAACCCCACTCTAAAGTCTTGCCCGATCAATGTGCGGTGGTGGGCTTGTGGTAGTACTATAGTGAAACTAGACTCGTACTCTAACTAGAATTACATCAGGTCATTTCTATTATATTGGTTGGATATCAAGATCTCTATTATAGATCAAAAGAATAAAGAATAGGGATATCAAGATCTCTATTATAGATCAAAAGAATAAAGAATAGGGACGGGGTGACACTAACAATTATCTTTTTTTTTTTATTTTAAGGCATCGTTCATTTCACCGATTCGAGTTTTCAGTTTTAGATTTCTACATTTAAAAGTTTTCAGAAAATGTCACATTTAACTTTTTCTGCTACAGTTAAAAGCTCTTAGAAAATGTCACATCTCAACTCGAATTGAAAACTTAAATCTGCGAAGCGAACGAGACGTAACTTTCTACAACTAGCTTACAAGACAGATAATAAGATTTCATCTTCATGAGTCATGAGCATTGACCTGACCCTTTGTGGGAGAAAAGATAAAGAGAAACAAAAGCTGCTAAGGATGTTGTGGGAAACAAAATTCACCTAGGGATCGACAACGTTGAATCGCTTACGTTGCGTCAGGTAGTAAGCAAAGCAAGCAAAAGTGAGGACATCTAGAGTTGATTGTGGAGTGTGGACCATCGTTTACGCTCTTAGCTGAGCTGCTGAGGTGAGCCTTATTGTCATCTTTTACCCAATATTTGGACTAACTTCCAAAGAGATGAAAAGGGCTCGATCCAATTATGATGATCTATATATATATATATATATATATATGTGTGTGTGTGTGTGTGTGTGTCTAAAAGTCACATGGGGATTAAGATTTATTACTAGAAACTTTATTTGTATTAAGTTAGTCGCTCATTTCACTTTCTTTAACTAAGCAACAACAATCACTAGTAAATCATGTAACCATATGTATCGGTATGTCTAGTCATGTTGTTTCTTTTCTCATATATATAGATATATACATATACATATATATATATATATATATATATAATGCAAGGTATACATTAAAGATTTTTTTTTTCTAAAAGAAAGATGTTTAACTTGCTGAGTTCGTTAGTGAAAGAGTGTTAGTAATTTAAAAATAATGTCCTTCAACCATGGTACTTGTTCTTTCTCTCTGATTTGAAGTTATATGTACGGATCCATTTATCGCTTGTTGATAACAAGCTCGTTTTGTTAGAGGATTCGTTCTCTGATTCGAATCATAGTTCATAGTTCGTTACAGTATTTTCTCTCACAAAAAACACACGTAAATCGAAAATGATTTTAATTCATGAACCAAACGGGCTCTTAATAACCAGCATGCTTTGATGCTGCAAAGAATTTAGATGGTTACTTTTATTACCCCAATTGATAGAAAAATATTCCGCTTTCAATAAGGAAAAATACAAAATACAAAAGAAAAGTAATACTAATCTTCTTATTCTTTAATCTCTTCATTCCTCCTTTTTTGGTAATATTTGTGGCTATATTTATACTGCGCATGCAGTTTTTGTGCGCTTTTACTGTTGTACGTGAGATCATTTAAAACAACAATAACTAAGCTAGCAGTCTAGCATGGAAATGGAATATGTACATAGTATATCAATTATTATACGTATTATATATGCAAAACATGAAACGTCTGAACCGATGAATCCTCAAAGTATAGTGAATTTCGTGGTGTCACATATTATAATAGTTAGGTACCCTCCATTAATATTATTCCATTAATTACTAGTTTTACAAGATGTCTATGACCAAAGTTGTCTACCCAGCTAAGAAAAAATAAGTTGAATATCTCCCTCTGTATATATATACATATATATATTAGATTCATTTAAATACTGATCTCCAGCAAAAAGATTCATAACAAACTCTATTATACAAGAATTAACAGCATGAGAAAAAAAACTAACAACACTGTTTTTGTCACTCTCTACATTTATTGTTTGACACGTGAACTCTACTATCATGATACATTATTATTTAAATAGAAAATGAAATATTAGAGTGCACGTGTCAAATAATAAACACAGAGAGTGATATAAAAAATAGTGCTAACATTTCTCACCGGAGAAATAAAGAAAAATTATCTAAACCAATGTCGATGCTGTTCTTCTCAATGCATTTGAGGTGATACCGCCTAGGAAGTTAGGTTTTCTTTTTTATTCTCACCACAAACAATATTCTTCTCATCATTGCTGCCGGCAACTTCCCCACCCACACCAACTGTACGGAATATTTAACTTAAGGAAGCGTAGAGGAATGATCCTAATAAACAAATAACCTCATCTTCTTCCTTCATTAAACTTTATCTGAAACCCTTAATTACCCTTTAATTTCAATTAAAAAACTACTTTACAAGAGTTCAAACTATAAAGTACCCTGTTCAGAAATCATAAATTAACAGGCTAGCTAACTGCATAACTGCATTTTCTTGAATAAGTTAAGAATCCACCACCGCCTTAAATAAATATATATATATATATATAGCTTTGCTTTGTGTGTGTGTATATTTTTTAAATTTTCTAATCATAAGATCATGTTAAATTTTGACTAGAGAGCCAAATTTTCTTTTGGTGGGTCTCCCCCGCTAGCCATTGCACACCGTAATGACCCACTTCATGCTCGTCACGTACTAATTAATCTTATATAATTGATTGAACATTATTAAGTCTACTAACAATGAACTCTCCTAGGCATTTCTTTCCATGTATATTGTTCAAGCATGTTGATTTTCATATATTAAATCTAGTTATAGACTTCTACTCAGTCTTATATTGCTCATTAATTATTTCCCAAGTCGTTGTTTTCGGTAAAACTACAACGAATAATTTATATCCTTTGAAAATCATTTCAAGTGTTGTATATATATATCAATAATAATCTTATAAGCCTTCGTTACATGTCATGATATATATCCCATCATTTTGTAAAAATCATTTTGGTTAGGCTAAAGAGTTTACAATGTCTTTTGGGAAAGCAAGAATAATTAATGTGTCCCGGCTCGATCATTTACAACTTCTTCTTATGGTACCCAAAGTAGAAAAAAGTTATCATTACTATATGTGGCAGCGTACGCATCCGTAGCCTTTATGCTTTCGATTCATGACCAGCTCTACTAATTAAATGCCATTAAAAAGCCTTAAAATATGGGCTCCTTAGTAAGATCGATTTTTTTTTTTTTTCCAATTTAGTTTCTGCATAATAAATGTCGATAATTAATTAATTGTAAGTTATGATACGATGCTAACATAAAAAAGCTTTTGATGGTTGGCATATTCAACGGTGCACATGGTGCAAGAGATTCCTTTTCGTGCCAGAAAGAAATATATAATTCACGCATATCAATATATATATATATATATATAATATATAAATTCACGTAGGATTGTTTAACATATATTCTCAAATATTAGTTTATGTATATCTTAAAGGTTACGTGTTTCAGATCTTAGTTCTTAAATATGTAAAAGTACTAATCACCTCCACCGCACTAGCACACCCATCAAAATCTCCTCTTCCTTAAAATTGATATGTTTCGAATTCAGATATCTTCTTAAACGAAAGAGAAAAATAAAAAAATGAGTTATATATTGAGCGCATGAGATTGTAGTTGTTCTCTTTTTTAACACAAACTTCAAATGATGACTTGCCTAATTTACCGTTTTTCTTTCACACTAGGAATGAAACATTACAAGAAAAGTACTCTCGATAAATATGTTGCTACTTTTTTTTTCCCAATTAGTGGTGGCATGCTTCTGTACTTAGAATATGAATTAGTTAGTAACCCCACCATAGTAATTAATTATTTTCTTCTTTTAGGAGAGAGAGAGAGAGAGAGAGAGAGAGAGAGCCCTCTGCTGCCTTCATAAAGCACTCAACTAAAACCAGCTCTAAAAATCTTCAGTCCCATACGGATAGAATTATAGCAATTAGGACAAAAATATGAATCCACCTTCAAGAAATAACTGTTTTATTTGGCTGTATACAAGTATGTATTCCCTCTCTCATTATGTATTTTTGAGGACCACAGAAACATGCTTAAGTTTTGTCAAGTTTCTCTCATTACTATACTTTATGTGCGACATTGAATAATGAGCTACGTATACAAGACTTAAAGTAAATGCACCACATTCTTCTAAATTCTGGAAGAGTAATTCTTCTTGGCTTGTTTACTCCAAAAGGCTTGTAAAGTGATATAGGACAAAGTAGTGGATAAATTCTTGGGATCGATAGACATTTTTGTTTTTTTATCAGAAAACTACAATCATATTTGTTTTGTTATTATCTCAATCCATTTAGTCGATGAGCTTTAAAATATCACAAACTTTAGTTTTTATTTTAACTTTAATCATCCTCATCTATATGTTAAAAGGATGAGGACAAAATATGGATGATGTTCTGTTAATAGAGTATTATTTTTCGTCAACTTTACGTGCATAATGCTGTGCTATGTCAGTAGAGTGTTATTTTGTATCAACATCATATACATATTCTGTTATTTTCTTAACGGCTAACTAAGGGGTTATTCTTTTGCATTTTTGAGTTAGACATTCTTGAGTAAAGATTTTAAGTTGAGTTTGAGTTATAACTTGAGTTAAAATTATAACTTGAGTTTGTGTTTAGTTGTGTACATTTAAGTTATAGTTTGAGATAAGAATATTTTTAAGTTTCTGTTTGAGTGAGTCAAAACTTGAATTTATTTTTAGAGTATTTTAATAAAAATCCAATTGTGATGGAAAATTTTAATAGGATATATCGGTTGGGTTTTATTCGTTTTTTCGTTGTCAACGCATAGAAAAAAAATCATCTCAATCAGAATTAAAACGAAAAAATAATAGCATTTTTAAAAATAGAAAAAATATTATTCATTAATTTGAGTTCGAGTTTCTGAACTCGAGTTGAAGGGAAAACTTGAACTCAAGTTTTAATCCCAAACTCGAGTTCAAAGTTAAAAGAACGTGAACTTAAATAAAATTGTAACTCGAGTTACCTTTTTTTTGAGTTTTTATAGCTGCTGAACAGCTCCTAAGTGAAAGCTCTAAAATTAAAACTAAAATGAAGTGATAGATTGACCCTCTTTGTTTGTCCAATTCTAGATTTACTTGAAAGGAACGATGAATGAGCTAATAATTGAAATTTTGGCGTGGATGGACATAGGCACCCAAATCAAAACAATGTGTTGAAATATCTTTTGTTAATTTTCTTGGTTGTTGGGATTGGAATGCTTATGATGGCCTGAAGCTTAGGCAAGGTTCAAGTTGAGAGGGGCCAATATGCAAATCCAATTCCAGAGAAAGAAAGAATGAAAAAAATAAAAAATAAAAGAGGAAAGCAAAGTGCTTTAATGGTTCACTTTCTCTATTCCCATGGGCGAAGATCTGCCTTTCCCTTTACCATCACAACACCTCTCTTTCATCAATCTTGCTTGTCATTACGATCTCGAATCTTTCGTTTTCTTCCCTCCTCTTTTTCTTTCCTCTTCTTTTCTTTTCTTTTTTCCCCCATCCTGCTTCCTCTATCAAACTGTTCTGTCAGTATCTATCTGAATGTTTGATCATCAAGAATTTAACGCATCCCCACTTCTCCCTTTCTTTTTCAGAAATCAAAAACTCTCACTCACTTTTTCCTTTTCCTCTCTCTCTCTCTCTCTCTCTCTCTCTCTCTCTCTCTCTTCTTTGAAACCCCGTTTACCAACTTACATTTCTTTTCATATTACCTAAAGTACTATAAGTGGGAACAACAAATAGTCTTGCATCAGCAGCAAGATCAGCTAAAAAAACTATTCCTTCCAAAATATTTTATAAGATAAGATTATAAGATAGTCTATCATTGTCATCATCACAAAGTAAGAAATAATACATGGAGATTAAGGCCTAATTGTATCAGTAAAGAGAAATATTGGGCAAAAGGGTTCACATAACAATTCTTCATTTGCTCGTTAAAACTAATTAACATATCCCAAGCCACCATGATCAAAACGGTAGTGTAATATAAAATACGTTGAGACAAAAAGAATTTAAGAACATGTGGGATTTCTATATGACGATAATTAACAAAACAAAACAAAACCGAGAAAAAAAAATCTACATTATTAGGCCATTAGAAATGGCACGATTTTTATCAACACGAGTAGTCTCATACACCGGAAGTTCCTCTTGGTACCTAATTTCCTTACCGATCACGGCGAGGTGATCGAGCTCGAACAAATCGGAACTCGAATAGCTAGCTGCGTCATCAAATTCATCATCCTTAATTTCCTCATTGTCTCGAATTTTTTCACACACGAAGTCTTTCTTCTTCGTTTGCTTTTGGTGGTAATCTCTCAGAAACTCCCTGGCCGTTTCTTCAACTCGCCGTGTTTTTTCCAATACTTGTTGTTGCACTTTAAGCTCTTCTTCCGCTACTTTTCTCGTCGCCGACCGCCCGATCTTCCACGCCGTCGGTACCGATACCGGCATCAGAGCAGAATCTTGTTCCTCGTACAAGCATTTATGCCCACACGGACGAGAATCTTCGTCCACAATAACGCTCACAGGGTAGAACCGAACCGATCTTTTGACGCTATTGTCACGCAGTTTCTCCGAGTTCTTGCTAAGACACGATCTTGAATACGACGATGCCGAGGAACATGTGCTCATTTCCTGGTAAGACGACGTCGTGTTGTAGCTCTTCGGCTTCTTCGAGCTCGTGAAGAGGGAATTGAGAAAGTTGGCGAGCTTTCCTCCCGGCGAGATCGGCTGCTTCACCTTCTTCAGATTGCTGTAAATCTTCAAAGCCCTAGACTTCGACTTGATCAAAACTTTGTCGTCGAGCTTCGGCGTGTGGAATTCCATATCCTTAGGCCTGTGGTAATCGCCGAACACGTGGAGTTCTTCTCTCTGCTCGTAAAACAGAGCACTCCTCTGTTGTTTTCTCCCCGTCACGGTCGTACGGACGGGTTTAGGCCTCGCCGGCGCAGAGTGTGAGAACGCTGACCTGGCACCGTAGATGGACTCGGTGTCGGACGATGAGAATCCGCCGGAGCTCGAGTCTGAAGAGCTTGAAGTGGAGCTGAAGAACAGAGCGTCATTGTTGTCGTTTTCTAATTTTCTATCGAATTCCGAGTAATATTTTCTTCTCTGGGTTCCGGCCTTTTCGCCGACTTTTTTCTCGATCCATTTATCGATCAGACAAGCTCGGCGAAAGCTGTTCATCTCCACCTCCTCTTCTTTTTCCATTATTCCTCTGTTAGTTTTCCCTCCACTAGTTTTGCTCTGTTTCTTCGCCATTGTTTCTCTGAAGAACTTCAAATCATCGCTGTTCTTCTCGCCCTCGTCGATCGAACGGTATATTTTGTCCAGAAGACTCGAAGAGAAAGATGGGATTTCTTTCTCGTGCTTGTATCTAACTTCTCTGAGTGTTTTCTCAGGCCTATACATTTTCTGCATAATATAAGAAAGAAGACGATGATGAGCCTATGTATTGAGAGTGACAAATCAAGACCTGAAAGGCTGAGTAATTCGAGTTTGCGTCTCCGATTATTTTGTCTGCTAAGTGAGTTTCAAAAGCTGCTAATGTGAAAGACAACTCCTAAAGAAAAGAGACATATATGGAGCAAAAATATTGGTCGTTCTTTTTTTTTTTTTTTTTTCTGTTCTCTCTCTTGAAATTTCTGGGTCTTTGGAAATGGAAGAAGAAAAAAAAAAAGGGCAAAGAGAAAAACAGAGCAAGCGATGATTGTGTATAGAGAGAAACTCCAAAGAGAAGTTGTATTTGTATGTGAGAGAAAGGAAGAGAAATTGTAATGTAATGAGAGCACAAATTGCACGCCTTGAAGATGAAGCGAAGGGGAAACAGGGGAGGGAGAGCATTTTATAGTGTGTTTTTTGTTCCACGCGCGTGCATGTCCATCCTAATTGGAGCCCGGCAAACAGGTTGTCGCCCGATGACGTGGCAATGGACTTGCCAATTTTGTTTCCTAATTTACCCCCGTATTTTTCCAAAAATTATGGTCCAACCCCATCTCTTAATAGTCCTCCTCCCAAATTCGAATATCAAGCCGTTGATCATGTTGATGGGGGAGAAAGTGAGCAGAAGGGACTTTATCGCCTGTGGTGTTGACCACGGAAAATGTCCGTGCGCGTTAATATCGCTGTAATAATGGCGGGTCCAAATGTCGGCATGAGATTCTAAAAATTTTTTGTTCGAGTTATTATGGAGGTAGTAAATAGTAAATTTGGAAAGCCATTCAGAGGATTTTTCTTATTTTTTACTTTTTTTATTTTTTTTGGTCTGGTGATTTTTACTAATAAGGAATGGTTGACCATTTATGGAGGATAAAAATTGAGGTGAGTGATTAAATGAGCTCAATTTTAGTTAAATTTAATTATTAACTTTAAAGGAGGGGTAAAGCCGATTATAATTGTTTCAATTACTATGATTCTGTGGGGTGGTTGCATATTATCGTGCGTGTTGATTAAATTTCTTTAAAATGTTGATTCTTTGTAGTAAAAGGAATATGAGAAAATAGTATTTAATACAACAATCCCAAGAAACTAAAATGGAATTTTTGCATCATTCTATATTTTGAGGAGAAAAGAGAAAGACGACTGTTTTGCCGAGTTCAGCGTTTTTAGGTTTAAAATTCCTAATGAGCTGGCAAGGCTATGGTTGAATATTGGGAATACGTAACCAAATAATCATGGCAATATGACAAAGAATTAAATTAGATATTAAAAGCTGTTATGAATTATATATTATTCATAGGGCCCGTTTAGTTCGCTAATTCGAGTTGAGATGTAATTTTATGTGAGAGCTTTTTACTGTAGCAAAAAAGTTAAATTTGATTGTTTGTGAGAGCTTTTTACTGTAGCAAAACTCGAATTCTAAACTCGAATCAGCGAAATGAACGGGGTCATATCTCTGGCTAATTTGTGGTAATTTAAGGCGTGCAATTTGTTTGTATATTGTTTTTGAAAAAATAAAAAAAAAGACTTGTTTATCGTAGTATACTAGTATTTTGTAATGAAGTATTTTATTCTCTTATTTTACTTATGGTATTATAGGATTAGGTCTTTTGGAGCAAGGTATATTACGTGAAAATGATTTATAACGTGTTAATGATTCATTTGGTAGAATCAGAATAAAAGAATAATTGATTAATTTGGTTGGTGTACTCGTCCTAATTGATTAGCATCTATTTTTAATCTTCGACTACCCTTCCACTTGTGTTAATGTTAAAATACGCGCCTAATATTGTTAGATATGGTGTATGCACTTCTTTTCCATGTCATGAGTTTTATCGTCATTATTCACCTACAAATTTCATTCATTAAAAAAAAAAAAAAGAAGAGAGAGAGAGAACTTGTATCTAGAAAAACCAAACATGAATCAATAATCTCACAAGCAAAAAAATAAAGGGGAAAATTAGAATAAGCGAAATGGTTGGATCACTAACATTGCTGAAAAGAAAGGACGTAGCAATATGAATTAAGCAAAATGGCTGATTTGAATTTTTAATTCGAGTTGAGATGTGATTTTATGTGAGAGCTTTTTACTGTAATAAAAAAGTTAGATGTGATTATTTGTGAGAGCTTTTTACTGTAGCAAAACTCGAATCAGCGAAATGAACGGGAATAGTTCTTACCTTAGTCTCCTTTTTTAATATACAAGCGTTATTATGATCATTTTGAATTTTGAAAGAATAAGCTCTAGTACCCAAAAACGAAAATGGAAATGACAGTTAAAAAAGAGAGAACAAGGAGTTTAAAGAGAAGGACTTTAATCATGGGAATTAGTATATGTTAACCCTTTTTTTTTTTTTTTTTAACCTTGGGTAACCTCAAAAATCCAAGGGAGCCTGGGAATTTTGAGCTTTAATCATGGAAATTCAACCAGGGGAGCCAATATGTGTCTCTCTTAACATCTCTCCCCAGTCACATACTCATTTCAAGTGCTAGAATTTGGTAACGGCTCTTTGCAATATTTGAACCCTTTGACATCGATACATTTGCCACACAATGGCATATTGCATGCCTCTTCCTTTTTTTTTTTTTTTTTTTTTTTTTTTTTTTTCTTTCTCTCTCTTTTTCACGAAGGAAAGAGACGGTCTGATTAAGGCAGATCAAAACTTTTCTTGTGGAAAAGTAAATAGATTTGTAGATTTGTAGTTATAATTAAATCTGTCAGAATGGTTTGTATATATTCTAGTACAAGTTATTACTTCAAAAACTAGCATGGGGAAATATGAAACTTTATGCTGGCTCATAAAAAGTCATGACTTCCAAAGTTGCAACAGAACGTATACGACACATATTGTACCGTTTAGTTTGATTGATAAAATCTATTTCTCAATCATTAGCATCAAATTAGAGACCTGAAATTGAGTATCATTGAGCCTCCTGGACGAGAATTTAGTGTTTGAACTCCTAGGTACGTAGCCTATGAACCATACATATGAATGAAGCGAAAAAACAAAAATAAGAAGTTCTGAATTGCCCTAAATAGATTAGCTATGCATTAACAATCCCAATTTCTTAGTAATTATTCATGATTCTGCTTGAGATTTAGGTGTGTTCACCCAAATCAATCATTTCAATATATATATGTATATATATATTTGCCCAACATATATAGATATATATATATATATAATATGGACATATATACATATATAATAAAAGCTTATGCCAGGGGAGGATCCAGGGAGAGCCCCACGCACCGTCACTGAAAATAACTGAATAAAAATCCATCTGACCAAAAGTCTACACTTAGCCAAATATATATGACCTTCCCTATAAAACCAAAAACCATATTACACACACATGGCACGTAGTGCATTCATATCTTTTGTTCCATAGTTGATGAAACAAACAGCATTATTAACTATCCTGAAAAGGACGGCTTTTGGACTTACATCAAGATCCAAACGAGCCCCACAAGAGGAGAGAGAGAGAGAGAGAGAGCTATTCACTTGCCCCCATAATCCTTGCCAACATCACATGGTATTTCCCAAGTTGGGTTTCCTCTTGTACATCCATTCCAAGACATGGGTTATGATTCGTGCAACCTCCTTAACTCTTTATGCACCCCTCAGAGGCTGGGTGACACAGAAAGGTCCTTGATTTGGTCTCTTTCATTTTTTTGTGATTTTGTTCACTTGGATTAATTTTGGGATTAAAATAAGTCGTTTTATGAGGTTGGCTTCCACCCAAACAGTTAGACAATGATCTCATGTACTTTCTAAATCCGATGGTAATGGATCTTGAAGTGGTTTAATATTTGGTAGGCCCTGTGTTTCGGGATGTGGTCAGAGTTGGAGACCATGAATTTGATTATGTGATGTGTATTGCTAATGATCGGCTCACTTTCCTTTTCCTTTTACAGTGAGTCCCACACAACATTAATTCCTGGTCTTCTATAATTCCTTTCAAAGAATCCCGATCAAAATTGCTAATAGATATTTATGGATAGATAATTGCACAGTAAAGTATGAAAAAAAAAAAAAAAAACCCTATTACGACATCTGTTTGGAATCTTCTAGTATCGTTCTATGAATTATATATATATATATATATATATATATTATTTCAGTAACATCTTGATTAAATATACCGTTCAGAAACATGCAATACAGATAATCTTACCATAAAAAACTCCAATATTTAACATGCGAGTAGAAGGCTAATCACTTAAAGGAGTTAGTGAGGGACCTTGAGATTGACCTAAATGCAAAAATGTCCTACTTAACCCTTTAATTTTCACCTAAAATAATAGACTCATTAGAATTTCAGACATTTATAATGTGCACATATATCTTACCTGCCGTATATATGCCATTGTAGTGCTCAGATGAAAATCCACGCAGTAAATTTATACTTTTACATGCATATATCTCGATGTTCACGTTGTTTAAAAATCCCAAGTTCATTCGCATCTTACAAAGGATTGAATAATTTATGAGCCATATATACTCGAGTAGTTGTTTCATGAAGTTGATCTTTTTAATGATTTCGTACTGTAAATGAACTTGGTATCATATATATATATATATATATATATATATAAGATACTATAGTGTAAAAAATATATATTAAATGAAATTTAATTAGCTTTGCCAGCTTCCCCTACTAAAAAAGCGAGTTGATATCCTTATTCTTAACAAAATCCAGATAATACAAATTAATACCTCCGTTTTGATGAATATGTAAAGTTTTTTTGTACGATATACGTTCTTTGAAATGCACTGTTATTTATTAACCTAGCGTTTTTTGATGATGTAAAATGCACACTCATACTCTGTTCATTTTACTGATTTGAGTTTAAAATTTGAGTTTTACTATAATAAAAAGCTCTAAGAAACAGTCACATTTAACTTTTTTACTACAGTAAAAAACTTTCATATAAAATCACATCTCAACTCAAATTAAAAACTCAAATCGATGAACTAAACGGGCCTTCAATATTTCCACATAAAAAATTCATACTCAATGTATTGGGAGCTGTCCAATAGTTTTACAATGTTCATACATTTATGTAAATCACAGTTTCTTTGTCTTAATTTCCTTTGCCTTAATTTTGTTATGGTTACTGGTAAATATATAATGTTTACGTACATTTTGCTATAGCTATTTTTATGGGAAAAATACGTCACCTTTAGTTTTATTAAAGGTACCCTTAGTTTCATTAAAGGTTAATATTGATGATCACATTGGAAAAATAGTCTTAATCAAGCACTTATGAGATCCGGTCCCGGAGTACTCTAATCTACGCACCAAACTACTAAAAAATTAGCTCAATGACACTAGGTCCTTGGTGGT